AAATCACTAGACCAATCATATCAATCTATCCTAATTAAYCAATCAGGAGCCTCCCTCAGCACCCTCCAGTGGTGGAGTCATTATGGGCTCATTGTGCTGTCTTGACTTTCGCCGACGCGATGCCATGCGCTCTTTGAGCTTCTTTTCGCGCCCTTTCTCGTCGAGTAGATTGTGTGACACCTCGCGACTTTCATCTTCCGAGGTTTCTACTGAACTCCCGTCAGGGGAAAGGACGGGAGGAGAGAGCTACAAGAATTGAAAAAATATGATTAAGAGAGACGTCAAAACACGAACATAAGGCAGGAGAGATGAAAGGGTAACGCAAGTGCAAGTGTAAAGCAAGTCCAAGAGTAACGCAAGTTCAAGAGTAACGCAAGTGCAAGTGTAACGCAAGAGTAATACAAAACTAATGCAAGAGTAACGCAAGAAACACGAAAAAGTAAAATATCATACCGCTGCGACGCTGCTTTTCCGTCGCGTACTCTGTTCTGTTTTAAACTTCTCTTCCATCTTAGCGGCGATTTTCTTCATCTTCTCGTCCTGAGAAAGACCTTCTAATTCCTTGTCGTCATGGAAACTYGAAAACCCTTTGGGTGTATTAGGGTCACGCGGTTCTTTCATTGTCTGCGTACGCTCGTAACGCACTCTTGTGATGCGGTCACGTATCATCGTGATTTGWCGCTCCCTCTCATCCTAGAGKGAATTATGAACARGTTGAGTCTGATACTATTTGAAAAWAGTGTGACAACAAGAAAACCTGCACGTAACGCAATCTTCTCAAAGCTCACTTTAATGTAAATTAAAAACAATGCAGTCATAAACCAGCATTACTTTCGATGTCTTCTTTGTCATATAAAAATATTCATTAATAACTTGATATAGTTATTTCAGATACTAGTGRAGGCTTGGGTTTCCTGTGATAGCCGGSRTKAGTAAGATCAGCGGTCTTACCTTCTGTTGTTGTTCGACAAACGTCTTTTGTCGTTCACCCATGCCGAGAATAAACAAAGCCTCTTCCTCYTTTTGCTCCCGCYTCTCCCTCTTCTTGTTACGTCTTCTTTGTATCTATTAGGCGAAAATYTGATTGTCACGCAAYAGTGTCATACAAAATGTTTATCTTCTAATATTGTAAGACGAATTACAATGTCATATCAATARASTGTCAAGCGTCATGCAATTTGATGTCACGCRTCACACAATTCACTGTCACGCGTCATGCWATACAATGTCACGCACCATGTCTTCTTGTCTGGTTCGTTCTCTYTCGAGCTTCTTGCCAACACTAGTGTGCTCTCTAATRAGCGAGGATACAATCTCTCGTTGCTTCTCTTCTGAGAGATCGACTTCAATAACAGTCTTTTCACGCTTCATGGAAAAGCCAGGCTATAGAATGACAKAAATACAARTGATTGGTAACATAGAATAAAGGAAGTAAAGCAACATGTAAAATTGACATACCGGCAGCGGCCATTCTGGTGAGCCTTCCCTCTTTTCAGCTACAGCTTTCTCTTCTTCCTCCTTCTTTYGGGCTGCTTCTTCCTCGTCTTTACGCTTTTGTCTTTCACGTCGACGTTGTGCAAGCCTATCTTTAAGCTATGAGTAAAAAAGACAAAAGCGTTTTTCACGACTGAGCTTAAGCACGGCGCCTCGTCTTGATTCTTTTATGTTCGACTACTGAAGCGAAATTCGAACATTTTTGACCGTGTATTTCACACGTCGAAGATTACGTGTACAGAACTCAATGTACTCTGCGGTTCAATCTATACCGTTCGCCAAAACCTCTGACCGCCAGAAATTAAGCTAATTTAATGCACGTCMKAATTCCAAATAAGGAAAGCGTAACACAATCTACTTTATAGAGCGGTTGYTTACCGTATCCTTAGCCTCGTCACGTTTCAGCATTGTCTTTTCACGAACCATGGCGAACTGCTTCTCAGCCATAGTGACAATCGATGCCGCCATGTCCTCCTCGTATTGCTGCTCGTCGCGTTTACGRCGTCGTGCTTCAAGTCTCTCGCGAGCGAGACGTCGCTGCCTCTCAATGTCTTGTTGCATGGCCTGTGCGATAAAAATATTAATATTAACGCAMGGCGTTGGTTTGGAAGATTTAGGAAACTAGAAGGAGTTACAGACTTTTGACGACAATTTTTTGAGTCTTACGCAAAATTGCAAAAGTTGAAAAAAAAGTACTGAAAAGCTAAGATTGTTCTTATCACAGTGATATGATATAAAAAGAAAGAGAAGAAATTATTATTTTTTCATTTGCATGAACGCTTCGTTTTTTGTATTGTGTGACTTACGCATGCACAGTGTCTTTCTTTAAACACTACGTACCGTTCGTCTCGCTTCATGCTGTCGCTGTAGCTCTGCCATTGCAGCGTTTATCTCTGCCTCAGAAGCTCCTGCGCGCTTTTTGGCTTCTTTTTCYTTTTCCATCTGTTCCTCCAGGTCAGCGAGCTGTCTTTCGTGTTCTTCCTCCATATGGGCATGCTCCTCTTCGTCTTCGCCAAGGACGTCCATGTCACTCGAAGGCTGAAAAGAGATGGATATTAAATGAAATATCTTGATTTATTCATAAGGTAAACGTTACATCAGAATTTTCAATACAGGCAAATTTGTTRTTGTTATTAAGCGTTTAACTTTTAAAAACGTCTTCAGAGGTTTTTGTCGCTGTCTTCATTGGCTCCTTGAGCAAGTTTAGTAGTTCCTCCAAAAGCTATCAAGATTACGAAATGATTTTTTTCAAGGAACATCGTATAGTGAAATATGTCGACAACATCAATTGTGCTGACGATTTTAGCTCTCTTTAACGTCATAAACGTCAGTAAGTTGTTTCACCTACTTTTTTACGGTGTTAAATTTATCCTTTTACACAACTGTTTCTTTAGAAATACCGACGCAGCTCACACTAGTTTACCGTTAGTTTCCACCGTACCTTCATTGTTGTACTTCGCTTCCTAACAGGTCGAGCACCAAGGATTGTRGCAGCGACGTTATCGCACCACTCTTCACGACGAGAACGACGTTGATCATCCTTGATCTGATCCAACACTTCTTTTTCCTTCTCTCCCAGAACCTATGGCGTACCACACGCAGTACATGAAAGAATAATGTTACAATGTCACTATAGTCGTGCATAAAAAGGATAAGAATAAAAACAGATTTTAGTGTTTCATCAAATCCTCAAAACAATTTTATACACAACCTTCGGCGTGAGAGGATTGAGGTTCCGTGAAAGGGAAGAAAAGGATTGATAATTATGACAAACGCTTTCAAAAGTTGTAGCATTTCTTAGTTCAATAGACCTTCAGTATCACTCGCTCTCGTTCCCCTCGAACAAAATTAACCAAAGGGGACAGTGAGGAGTGCGGAATATGTTCAAAATATATACACGAATAGACAACAATATTTAGTGTTTTTACAATGATATTAAAGTGCATGAAAATGGTCTTATTTCAAAACTTCAAGCAATACAAATATATGACTCATTTATATMTATTAAAAACAATTGCGGGAAAATATTTGTTTTGGAATTATCCCACATCACAGAAATTTTGATTCAAAAGATGGAAGAACAAAAGGATTGAGTAAATGACGTCATCTACTCCAACATTTTTTGCCCAAATTATTAAGGATTTGTATCAATRTYTTCTTRAAAWCTGTKGCTTCATGATTATTAGACCCATATGGATAGTTCTATTTGATTTTCAAGTCTTTTCTAATGTTTCGCAATTTTCGTCCAAGTAGACCTTTAAAATCTTTTTGTCCAAGAAGAATGCATGATTCTTTTTTATTCAATCCGTCGAGAATACATTACAAATAAGCGGCATATTTTGAGCTGAATTTACCACTTTAAGTTAGAACATTTTTTGAATAACTTTAGAAATTAACAGCATATTATGAGAGTTTTCCTCGACTTTCTTGCACTTCAAACAAAAACATGAGCAAAAAATATTGTAGGGAGAGAAGGGGGGAGGGGTGGGGGGCCTTCCCAAATCGACCATTGTTATTACCTTATTCATGGCAGCATTTTCACTCTGCTGTTTTTCCTGTAAGTCAGCCAACAGACCAACAGCAGCTTCATCGCTGACCTTGTCATCAGGTACGCCCTGCTCGATTAACAACTGCTTACGACTTTCCACTCGTAACAACAGCGCCTTGTGAAGAAGCTTTTTCTGCTGTGAGCGGCTTTCTGCGATACGCGCAGCGTACGTTTGTCGTTCCTCCTTTAAAAACAAAAAGGATAATATGCTTTAAAGTTAGATTAACACGAAAATAATTGCCTACAACTACAAATAGTTTTGCCTGAGTCATCCTTAAGTCCGATACACACAAGTGATTTTTTGGTGTGTTTTTGCATAGATTTTTTCGGGCAATTTTAAAAATATAATACAGTCAACTCTCTAGTAAGCGACCACCTCCTCGGGATCAGGAAAAAGTGGTCGCTTACGAGAGATGGTCGCTTACGAGAGAGTTTTTTCAGAGTTTATATGGGAAACAATTAGAACGGGAAGTTTAAAAAGTGGTCGCTCACGGTAGATGGTCGCTTACGAGAGTGGTCGTTCAAACAGAGTCAAATGGATATTTTCAATTATCTTATTCTCGTAAAGATCTCATCTCAGTGTAATGAATAAAATTTCAAAAGTTAATTCTATAACATAATATTCACTAGGATCAAAATGACCATACAAGTGACGCAAAAATTGCTTTAGCTGTGATATCGATTCAAAACAATAGACAATGTGTAGCGACGCCATTTTGTGCAGCAAAGGATTATGGTCGTTGTAGCGGCTGCGCAGTTATTATAGACCCATATCAAAGAATTGCCCCACAAACGTTTTCCTTCGTTTAGCAGCCATATGGTGATCTTACCTTATTTGTAAGTACGATAGGAATGGTTTTTGCCGATTTTCTCGTCTTTTAAAGCTTGAAATCGTCTGAAACTTGCAGATATTATAGCGAAAACACTTCTCAACAATCGGCCATTTTGTTTGTTTCCATATATGGCATGGATTTACTAAAGGAAGCCCAAAACTAAAAAGCACAGTAAACCCGCACGAATGACATACAATTCTTTGATATGCTTTTAAAATAAATAAAAAATATCTTCTTAAAGRCCTTTTTACGCTTTCTTTGCAGAAAKAGYAAAACTAATTCTATTTTGGCTTAGAAAAAGCGAAAACATTTTACATGGACTGTTTAAATGGACAWGAWAAAGTAYGAGGACTACAACTACCATMATGCTTTGCTGTACAAAATGGCGTTGTTGCACATTGCCTATTTATAAAGCGTACCTCGTCTTGCTGAGTTTCTGGTACAGATTTCARTGATTCCCTAATACTATCCATCCTCCAACTTTGTCTTTCTTTAGCAATTTGGTCGATCTTAGCCTGCCTTTCATCCATAGATAGATATTTGGCAGCGGCTACACCATCTGGATCTACTTCAATGCCTTGTAAGAGATCAGCCATGACCTGGCAAAAAAAACATATCAAATAGTTTATGATTAACACAAAAGCTAATAGGAAGGGAAGCACATGAGAAATTTCTAAAGCAAGAGAGTTACTTAAAAAAATAGCAAAGTCACGCAAAAATAGAAGAAGAGAGCAAAAACAAGGACAAGCCACAAGATTGAGAGGGAGGGAGGGAGGGAGGGAGGGAGGGAGGGAGGGAGGGAAAGAGCAGGACTTGAAACAAGAGGAAGAAAACCTCAAGACCAAGGTTAAGACAAAGACAAAGACCTAGAGCAAGAGCAAGCTCAAAATAAAGATAACAAGCAAGAACAAGCCGCAAACGCAAAGCATATAATGATTTCAAAGAATAGCTTGTCAAACCTGTTGTTCCGAATTGTGTTTTTGCTCAAGTTCATTCAGAATTGATTCTTGTAAGGYCGTTATACCACCTTGGTCAATTTCGACAGCCTTCAGTTTGTCTGCTTCGAGATCARTGAGAATTTCCTTGACGACAGCGTCTTTGACTTCGTTTTTCTCTTCGTCGTCATTTGAAGGCTTGTTCTTTGCTGCCCGACGCGCCTTCAGGGCTGCTATCCTATCGCGAGCAAGTTGTTCTTGACGTGTTCTGTCCTCCTTGTAACTGGGAATAACGGGAAAGTGRATTGCATTAATTTAGAATTAATGGAAAAGGAATGGATAATGGAAAGAATTGGATGGCGGGCAACGACGTCAATGATAGCAGCGATAATATTGACATTAATGAACGGAGAAACAGTGAGATAAAGAGATTAGGAACAATAAAAGCAKTTCAAGAACCCATACCATAGAGCAAGAAGAACGGGAGGAACACGAGAAGAATGAAGAAAAGAAAAATGAAGAAATGCAGAAGAAAGAAATAATGGATGGTCTGACAGGAAWAATACCAATAAAATATTAAAGAAGCATCAAATCAACAGATAACAGTGAGGAGAGTGAAATCATACTTTGATTCGCGCTGTGCTTCTTGTTTCTTCGCGAGGCCAAACAAAATGGCGGCCGTGTCGAAGTTGTCTTGAAGCTTAAACTTCTTCTGTTCACGYCTTAGTTTGGCGAGTTCAAGTTGGCGCATTCTTTCGCTTTGYAATCGAGCGTCTTGACCGCGCAACGATGCTAACAAGGCCTCTTTTTCCTCTTCATATCTCGACTAAATGAGAAACAAGAATAAATGAGCTGTTGAAAATAAATTACAAACCGAAAACGTATTCTCTGTTTCTAATAGTTAGTAATATAGTTTGCTAATTGTTTCTAATAGTTAGTAATATAGTTTGCTAATTGTTTCTAATAGTTAGTAATATAGTTTGCTAATTGTTTCTAATAGTTAGTAATATAGTTTGCTAATTGTTTCTAATAGTTAGTAATATAGTTTGCTAATTGTTTCTAATAGTTAGTAATATAGTTTGCTGATTGTTTCTAATAGTTAGTAATATAGTTTGCTAATTGTTTCTAATATAGTGATACGCAGCCAATTAACGGTTTTCATTCAAGTCCTAAGATGTTTAGCGCATGATGCCGTTAAGGTATATCTTACCCTTTAAGTGCACTAAAGTAACACCTTTCTAATTTCTCTCACCTGTAAGTCATTAATAAGATTTGCCGTCGTTGCTTCTTCACCATCAACCAATGTCTGATCAGCGATACTTTCAAGAACTGYGCTGTCTACTCCTTCGATTCCYCGCTCCTCTATCATCTCAAGCGTTGCAAGCTCTTCCTCATTCACCACTTCGCCAGCTTCTTTCATTTTCTTGAGTTTCTGGAGT